CCCCAAAACCCCAAAACCCCAAAACCCCGAAAGATATGAAAATGCTTATAAATGTATAGTATTATTTTAATATTACAAAATGTCATATAATTTTGATGACTCAGCTAAGTAAAGCAAGGAAAAGGAAAATAATCATGATGATTCTTCTGGTATCAATCATTTAAATTTAATAATGGTTATTAGATCCTGATATTGATGATATATTAAAAGAAAGCGATGATTCAGAGGAAAATAGTGATAGTGATTAAAGTTAAAAATTATCAAACTCTGTCAAAAAAAAGCATAAAGCAGTAAAAGAGAGTTCCGATGATGTCGATTCAGACAATCCCCTTGATAAAATGTTCGGGCAAAAAGAAAAGTAAAATACTGAGGAACAGAAGCAAATAGGCCGCAGAGTAGCAATTAAGACTAATGAACATCAAGAAGGATAAAAGTCTGGAGTTGATAAGAATATATACTTTGAAGATATAGGCGATGATGATTTTTTCGAGGCTCAAAGACAAATAAACTAGGTTTAAACAGAAAATCAAGGCATAGCAAATGCTTTGCTATCAGATTTTTAAGCGCAAGAACGAAAATCATTTAGAGAGAAGCTGAGAGGATCTGGGGCAGTAAAGAGTTTTGTAGCCAATACTTTGGACAAAGGTCTTAAGGCAATGCAAAATCTCAAAGAGAGTGTTGCAAATATTGACTCAAGTAGTTTATTGTTCACCGGGCAAGAGAAGAAAGCTGCATAAAAAAGACTTAGTGAAGATTTCACACTTCAAGATAATAGTACATCAAACATATCAGCTAGCAAGAATGTTCAGCTAATCAAATCTGAGAATCAAGACTCAAAATAGGATTCAGATGAGGATAATATATCAATCAATAAGCAATAACAGTAGCTTGAAGATGATCTTAAAAGAAATATTAATTTTGAAGATAGTAAGAAGAAGGGGAAGGATAAGGAAAAGTAGAAAAAGGACAAAAGTAGCTAGAGCGATGATTCTGATAGTGAAGAGATCAATGAAGATGATATATTAAACGAAGATGACGATGACGACGAAGCAGATGATGGAGAGGATGAAGATGATTCAGAAATAAGTGAGAATGAGCAAAAGAAAATTTTAGCAGATTTAGATAAAGAAGATGATGACGATGATGATGATAGCGATAATGATAGTAAAAGTAATTCTAACTCAGGTGGTGAATTATCTAATGTCAAAGATGATATAAACACTTCTCTTCTAACTGATGATATTGCTAATAGATCATTAAATGCTGAGGATGAGGATTCACTAGTTGTTATTGATTCCAAGAACTATTTGAAATATGTGAGTGAAAAGTATAACATTCAAAATGATGTGCTTGAGATCATTGATAAAAACGAGAGAAGTTTTAAGCAAGTAGCTGAGAGAATCATTAATTAGACAAGCTATTTGGTTCAGCCCTTGAATGAAGTAGGAATTACCTTAAGCTCTTTGATTGAAGAAGGAGGAAGTAGTTAGATTAGTGTTCAATCTGCCAAAAGATTAATGCTAACTCCCACCCTAAAGTAGGTTTCTCAAAGATATCATGGAGATTTAAAAGCATAGCAAGGTGTTCCATATTCAATTGCAGCATTTGAATAATTTGTAGCTATTGGCAGCTCTGATGGATCAGTAAGAATATTTGATAACCATGAAAGAGAGCTGAAAATTTTGGCTGATAAGAGTCTCAAAGGCGTTTCAGTTCAGTGTCTTGATATACAAAGAAGCAGAAGTAATAACATATTTGTAGCAACTGGCCATTCAAAAGGCTAAATATCATTACATGAAGTCAAAGGATTAAAACCGTATCAAGATGCAGTCTTGAGTTAAGTTTCATCAAAACATCACAAGACTATAAATGATATTCACACTTCCTATGTTGTCTCTATAAAATTTGTAGGTGAGCTTGGTCCTTACATCCAGTCGCTAACAACAATAAGTTGTGATTTGGAAGGAGTCGTCTATATTTGCTTATTTAAAGAAGGATTAATGAGTTACTCCTGCAATAAGCAATGCTTTATGAAGAAGAGAGTAGGGCCAACCTTTTCAATTTCCCCACTATTGCAATATTCATCTCAAACCATTGAAGAAGTTATACAAGAATAGCTATAACTTTAAATTAAGAATGGAGGCTCAAATAATGAAGTGGATTTCACAAGGAAAAGACCATAGCTTGTTGCTTTTGGCTCATTAGAGAGGATTATTATTGCATAAATTAGACCTACTCCTAAAGAGTTACTTTATATAGATAGACCCGATTATTTAGAAATGGGCACTGTCCCTTACTTAGATTGGGGTTTAGCCCTCTCTCCATGCTTTAGAGATAAATCTTATCCAGTTTTAGCAATTGCATGGGGTAAGGTGCTTTAACTTTCAGTATATGTTAATTTCGACTAGCTTTAAGGAGTCATTTAAGAACCTCCACTTATTCAATATGATGGCTATTATGTGTGTGAACACTCTATAGATGCTTGCTATTTTTTGGGAGAGAGTATTTTATTCGTAATTGTTAATAAGCAGGATGTGAGAATTCTATACACTTAAAATTTCACTCCTGGAATCTTCGATGAAACTTATCAACTTAATGATCCTAACAGAACTAAATCTGCAACTGAATTATTGGATCCATTGAAAAGAGCTAAATACTTCATGAGGCTGAAAGAGCAATTTGCAGCTAATATAAGTTCATAATACGCTGAAAAGGATAAGGGTTATAAGTTACTTCAAGAAGGAATAAGATTTAGAGATTTAGATACTAAACCTGGCCAAGCAAAATCAAAATTTAACTCTAATCCTTCAATCTGCAAAAATTATGATAATATGATCTACGTCCTGGGAAAGACATCAATAGGCTAGGGTAAATTGCTAATGTGGGAAGAATATCTAGATTTAGTTAGAAGGGCATATCCAAATGACTGGCTAAAAGTCTTAAGAGCTAGCTTAGACATCTATAATGGAAAAATGGTTGGTCTTGCTGGACTACCAGACCTTAAAGAGACGAGAGAGCATATGCTAAGAGAAAGTATGAAACAGCTTTTGAGATAAAATATCGATGCCTGTATTAGAGAATTTTAAGAGGGAGAATGTGTTTCCAATAAGACTCTTAGAGTAGCAGTTGAATTTTGCATAAGAGTAAACGCTATTGATCATTTATTCGGTGAGCTGTTCACAATGTTCGCTGAAGCAGGAATGGAACAAAAGTTTTTAGAAAACTTAGAACCATTTATTCTAAGCGGCAAATTCAAATAATTTAAAATACCTGAGGAAATATTGGTAAGGCTCATAGGATACTAGAGATAAAAAGATTTGGAACTACTTGAGAAAACTTTACTTAATATAGATTTAGGAAAATACAGTTGTTTGCTAGAAGTCAGACACATTTGTGAGACTGAGCTTCTTACATCTGCACTGATTCATATATTGATTAACGAATTTGATGATGACAGAGAGGTAAGCTCAAATATGAAATTTCTAAATTCATCTTTTAGAGTACTGTATGTCTTTAGCTTTTATGTTCTCTCTATAACATGAAGAAAAAGAGCAAAAATCAGAAGACTAATAAGACTGAGATATTTAAACTATTGAATTATGAGCCTTTGGACTTAGAAAACTAAAAGAGCATTTTTGAAGAGGAACTCAAAAGCCAGGATAGGTCATCGTTCAGCACTACTTCATCTTAGTAGTTTTAAAGTCAATCAACTATTCCCGGGCAAGCCAATGTCTCATCTAATGGTATTAACAAAAATTAAAAGCAAGAGATCGAACAAAGTGCTACTTATATTGGTTACAAATTAATGTGGTAAGCTAAAATATTATTTAAGAAAACATTAGGGTGATTAAATTATTCCTTGAGGGTAAGAAGTTTCCATAAGGGACACTTAGTGCTTTCAAATGGAGAATTTACGTCTATGACATCGTAAGATTTGCAACAAATGAGGAATTCTTGAACTGGTCTTTGGAATTCGATCCTGACACCTTCTTTAAACTCATGAAAGCCTTGTTTATTGAATAAGAACCTTACGAGTATATTTAATCCCAGTCAGCATTCATAGCAATGTATAAAGATTAAATTAATGGACTCGATGAATGTATGTCTCATACTTAAATAATTGAAACAATGCACAACGCTGTTTAGAATTTCTTAAGCAAAGATAGAGACTTTAATAATGGGTATCTAAGCTCCAAGGGTGAATGTGCTCTTAATGCTTTCGTGTTTTTTATCGCCTAGATAAGTCGAAAGCCTTAAGTTGAAATACCCGAATAACTGGCTGTCTATGCTATTAGAGAGCAAATCAAATTTAGTAAAAAGCTGCTAAAGATTCCTAACCTACTAAGCGAAGATATAGCTAAGACGATATAACCAGCTGCCTAGGGAAAGTAGTCATCACAAAATCTGCCAAAATAGGATAGAATGACTAGAATATACAATCTTCTGCTAAAAAAGAATGAAAAAGATGTGTTGAGTCTGATTAACAGATGTGAAAATGACATGGATGAGGAAGAGCTGTAGAATCTAGCTAGGGAAGCAGAAAGGTCTCCAATGTATAAAGTAAAAGTCTTAATACAGCAGCTGCAAAGAAACTATCAGCAATGCCTGCACATGTTCTTTAAGATTCCAGCAATTAGAGAGGAAGTCTTTACCTGGCTCACAGATATATCAAAGCATGTACGAAAGGGATAAGACAACCAAAATAATCTGGATATCGAATCCCAACTAACTAAACTTATAGAAGGTAGTATTGCTTAGTTTGTTGAAATGGACAGCGTCTCTACAGTGAAGTTGAGTGAATCATGGCTAAACAAGGATTATATGGGCGTAGTTGATAAATTGAGTAATAATCCAGACCTGATGTTTAAATTCCTGAGCACTCTGCTGCAAATGAAGGAGCCTGAAATTGAATAGGAATACAATCATTTAATGATTACTGGTGGAAGACTCAACAGTCCATAGTACAACTAGTATAAAAAGCTTATCCTCAGATTTGTCTAAGTCTTAGCTGAAAAGAAATACAGAGTAAAGCTAGTTGAATATGTTAAGAAGAAGTACTATCCAATCGATGAATGCCTGGAAATCATAAGAGAAGCCATTCAAATCGAACAAGGCTCTTCTAGCTAAAAGAAGACCAAGAAACTGAAAGAAGACACCTAAGAAGCCTAGGCAATATTACTGAAGAGGAAGGGTGAGTACATTGAGTCAGTAGACCTATTTATAAACGTGCTGATTGACCTGTCTATCGTTGAGATCACCTCAGCCCTCTACTTGGATGCTAACATCAAATTCAACAGCACTTCGACTGCAGATCCTCATATTCAGAGATATGACCAGATTATCTCGTAAATCATGAACATTTGCGAGAAGTACGGTTCTAGACTGCCTGAACAAGAACAAGAAGAGCTCTGGCTTCACTCTATCAAGTCAATTTACAGAGTCAAGCAGGTGGTGTTTGAGAGAATGCGAAGTGACCTCAGCAGCAAGGATCAAGATAAGTACTCCACTTTCCAGATGATTAGAATTCAGGAGTTCATGAGGCGTATGAGTGAACATCTAAGACTAAACCGTATTCTAGAGTTTCTCGAGGAGATAGGACATCCGATTAAATACTAGGAATTTAGACAGACTTTTGAAGACAAGGTGAGGACTGAGTTGCATCATGAAAATATTCTTACTAATGCCAGGCAGCTTATAGTTAAAGATCTTCTAACTGATGGGGCCAAATTGAAGAACCTCTGTGTAATAATTAATGATATTCAACTTCTATAGAGTAAAGGAATTAATATTCAGAGGCAGAAGTGTGACTACTGCAAGAGAGATTTACTGTACAAGTGGGATAAGTAAGACGTGAGTCTATTCAAGTGTGGCCATATCTTCCATCATAGATGCGTATCCAACACCGACTTCAAATGTTTCCTGTGCTTCAATGAATTCGATTAAATTTGTAAGATATTTGAACTCATAGATACTAGAGATGATAATAAATCAAAGAGGAGTTAGGAGAGTGGGCAAGAAATCAAAAGACCTAGGAGCAGATGATGACTCCAAGAACAGCAAGAAGAGAAGAGACGGAATAAAGGAAAAAGATAAAGCTTAAAAAGATCAAAGTCCCAAGAAGATTAACCAGAAAGAGTTTGAAAAGTTATACAAGAGCGATTAGTTCGAGGAGTTGAAAAGGATTATGGACAGATTCAACTCAGACCTCAATGATAAAATCATTCATCTCCAAGACTTCTGAGCAGTGGCAATCCAATATAATTAGAATGGCTGAATTAACTAATTTAAAGGGCAGAAATTTGAAAATCATTATTATTATATCTAATAATTTCATAAATCTAATCTACTCTTTGAATCAGGGGTTTTGGGGTTTTGGGGTTTTGGGG